TGTGAGGTTCTTCTCCCATGTAGCCGGCAGGCTGATGCCATCTTTCCTGTGTTGAGCCCATCCTCACACGGCCAAATCTGAATCTGATTGGCCTGGTGAGCTCCACAGCTCTGTCCTGCTGACTCAGCTAGGACCCCCGCAAACCCAACTCCCCAAATGCTGGAGGCACTTTTTTTTAAAAAGATTTTTTTTATTGGGGAATTGGGGAAGGGGAACAGCCAAGTTGCTGTCCTTCAATCTTAGTTGTGGAGGGCGCAGCTAGCTCAGCTCCAAGTCCAGTCACCATCCAGCCGCCCGTCGGCAGCTCACAGCTGCTCAACGCAAGGTGCTGTGTTCAATCTTAGCTGGGGGTGGGCATAGCCCACCATCCCATGCGGGAGTCGAACCGGAAACCTTGTTGTTAGGAGCACGTGCTCTCACCAGCTGAGCCATCCTGCCAACTGTTGGCAGTTCAGCAGCAGCTCAGCTCGGGTGCAGCTCACTGGCCCGTGTGGGAATCGAACCGGTGACCCTGTTGCTCAGAGCTCACACTCTTAACCAACTGTGCCACTCGGCCAGCCGTGGAGGCACTTTCTCCAAGAGCAGCCAGCCCTGCCTGCATTGCATTCAGCACTAGCACCAAACCAGAATTTACATTAACCTGGTGACCACAACTCTTTCCCACTCTAGTGACTCCCTGAGACCCTGCTTCACCCAACTTGTGTACTGCATGAGACTTTATCAGTGGCTGAACCTTAAGGGAGCTGGCAGGTGACAGCAGGCCTTGGAGGGCCTGGCATTTTGCAGAGCTACCCTAGGCTCTGTACCAGTGGCAGCCTTCCTCGGTTCACAGTGTGGCCTTTCCCACTCACCTCCAGTGTTAGCAGAGGCAGTGAACAATCACAGATCATTTTGTAGCTCTTACTAGGTAGTCCCTGGCTCGTCACAGGCAGTGGGCCTGGGCCTGCACTGGAGTCCCTCTCAAGAGGTCCCAAAACCAACATACTTGGAGGTTGGCTTCAGACCACAGCAGAGCACTGCCCAATTAGCTCCACAAGCAGCACCAGAGCCCAATGGAGCAAATACCACTCAGTGGAGTAAGCCCTCCCCACAGCAGCCTGTAGCTGTGGATGTGGCCAAACAGCCAGTCAGCCTGAGGGTCAATCCCACCCACTGATGTGCCCATAGCAACCAAGGCTCAACCCACACAAGGGACATACCTGGAGCACCCAGTGCAGGAGACCAGGGAGACTGCACCACTGGGTCCCACAGGACACCTACTACATAAGACCACCGGGCTAAGACTGGGAGACACAGCAGATCTACCTAATACATAGAGACAGAGAGGCAGCCAAAATGAGGAAACAAAGAAATACGTCCCAAATGAAAGAACAGGAGAAAACTCCAAAAAAAAAAAAGAACTAAAAATGGAGGCAAATGACCTATCAGATACAGAGTTCAAAACAATGGTCATAAGGATGCTCAAGGAACTTAGTGAGAACTTCAACAGAGAGCTAACAAGCATAAAAAAGGACACAGAAACCATAAAAAAGAACCAGAGTGAAGAATACAATAACTGAAATGAAGAATGCACTACAAGCAATCGCCAGAAGACTAGATGAAGCAGAGGATTGAATCAGCGATTTGGAAGACAAGGTAGCAGAAAACAACCACTTGGAACAGCAAAAAGAAATAAGAATCCAAAAAAGTGAGGACTCAGTAATCCCACTTCTGGGTTTTAGTCCGAAGAAACCCAAAACACTACTTCAAGGGGACGTGTGCCTCCATATATTCATTGCAGCCTTGTTTACAATGGCCAAGATGTGGAGGCAGCCTGGGTGTCCACTGATGAATGAATGGATAAACAGGAGGTGGTACGTATATACAATGGAATATTGCTTGGCCATGGGAGGGAATGGGTTCTTGCCATCTGAGGCAGCATGGATGGACCTGGAGGGTATTATGCTGAGTGGAGTGTCAGACAGAGAGAGAAAGATGCAATGTGATTTCGCTCATATGTGGAATCTAAAGAATAAACTGAATAAATAAAACAGAAACAAACTCATAGATAGAGAACATATCGATGGTTGCCAGGTGGCAGGGGTGTTGGGGGTGAGTGAAAAAGGGAAAGGGATTAAGTACAAATTGGTTGTTATACAGTAATCATAGGCATGTAGGGTGCAGCATAAGGAATATTGTCAATAATATTGTAGTAACTGTATGGTGTCAGATGGGTGTTAGATTTGTTGGGGTGATAGATGGGAGGAGGTTAGCGGCAGGGTGAAAAAGGTGAAGGGATTAAAAAGTACAAACTGATAGTTACAAAATAGTCATGGGGATGTAAAGAAAAGCAGAGGGAATATAGACAATGATAAGGTAATAACTATGTATAGTGCCAGGTGGGCATTAGGCTAGTCAGGGGATCATTTCTTAAATTATACAAATGTCTAACCACTATGCTGTACACCTGAAATTAATATTGAATGTCAGCTGTAATTGAAAAATTAAAAAAAGGGGGAAAAGGTGAAGGGGAATAAGAGGTCCAAATTTACAGGTATTGAACAAATAAGTCATGGGGATGTAATGTACAGCATAGGGAATATAGTCAATAATATTGTGATAGCGTGGTATGGTGTCAGATGGTTGCTGGAGTTGTGGGGATCACTTCTTTAGGTATATAAATGTTGAATAACTATCGTGTACAACTGAAACTAAGATAATATTGTACGTTAGCTATGTTTTAATAAAAATCTTTTTAAAAAATTGAAAAAAAATGTAAAAATATAAAGGTGTTGTGATCACTGGTAGAAATACAAATGATTTCTGTGAAAACTAAAAAATATATATATAAAACAAGTAAAACAAATAGTGCAATGATTCTCAAACTTGAAGAAATAATTGTTAAAAATGGAGATTTCCTGACTCTGACCTCAGACTCCCATCAAGAGAGTGGGATTTGGGGATCTGCATTTAAACAAGTTCCCCAGGTGATTCTGATGGAGGTGGTCTAAGGGTTACAAATTTAGGAAATATCTACTGTATTCTTCAATCCTTAAATGATCAGGCCTGCCAAGTCTGGAATTCTAAGGGATAACTGGTATTAACTGAATTCACGTGGTGTGATTTAGCTCTTAAAAAAGAATGTATATCATTCTCAATAATTTAGGTCCAAGAGGAAAAACTGAACCATAATTTATAACCTTCTGAAGAACAAAACAAAAACAGCTCTACTTAAATAATTGCACTTTGGTGATAGAGTACAAGCAGAAGTTGGTTGGACTGATATCTGATAACTGATGACTGTTTAAGTGGGGTTACATACAGGGTTGTGGAGCAAGGGCCTAGGACATGAATTCAGACATGCTTGGGGAATTCTGAAGGCTAGGAGGGAGACGTTTGGTAGTAAGAGCCATCTGGTCAACCCCTGTGCGTTTATGGCGTGGCTAAGCGTGCTCCTCTGGGAGGTTCCTCTCACCTTGGAGGGCTGAGTTAAGTGTGCTCGCCTGGGCGTGTGGGTATCAGCAGGCCCACCCCTGAGCAGACTTCTCAGTGCCGCCCACCCACACTGGTGTGGTTCTTCAAACACCACAGAAGTGATGATGCTTCAGTGCCTCTGCATATGTTGTCAGTCATGTTTCACACTGCTGGCTAGCTGCTTTTTCCTTTTTTCGGTTTCAGCTTAAAAGACATCTCTTCAAAGAGATAGCTCTTATCACCTCATTTAAATAGGATTCCCATCTTCAACTCCGTTAGTCAGTCTCTCACTACCATTTTCTTTATACCTACAATTTGCAATTACTTGATTTTCCCCCATTTTTATTGACAAACGATTGGCATACATCACTGTGTAAGTTTAAGGAGTAGAACGTGATAATTTGATTTACCTATATTGTGAAATAATGACCACACAGGTTCAGCTTACATCCATGTTCTCATATAGATGCAGTAAAAAAAAGAGGAAAATTAAAAGGAGAAACATTTCCCCTTGTGAAGAGAATGCTTAGGATCCCCCAAGTTTCCTACATATCACACAGCAGTGTGGGCTGCACCATCATGTGCACACTTTCTTGCCTTTTTCTGCTCTCGCACCAGAATACAAAGCACGAGGCAGGGCGTCTGCAACACCCACCTGCGCACACCCCGTGGTGACTCACACAGCATCTCCTCTTAGGGAGGGCGGCCTACGAGTGTCTGGGTCACCGCTGTGCTCCGGCGCCTAGCGCACACCCGGGCATTTATATGTTCACTGGAGGAAGGAACAAACATCGTTTCTTCAAGAAATACTTATGGTAGGAACTGGTCTGAGAACTCCAGCGTCGTCCTCCTTGACCCAGGGTCCAGATTCCTATCATTTAATGCTTAGCTGCTGTGTTGCAAAGCGTCTCTTCTGGTCACTTCCCCAGTCCTGTCTCCACAGTAGTTCTGTTTCTAACTCTGACCCTAAATAATAAAAAATGAGGACTGAAAAAAAGTTAATTTATTCCCCAAATGATAAAAAATACATGCTTTCTGACAAAATTTGGGAAATCCAGAGAGAGAGAGAGAGAGAGAGAGAGAGAGAGAGAGAGAGAGAGAGAGAGAGAGAAAGAGAGAGAGAAAGAGAAAGAGAGAGAGAGAAAGAAGCTCATAACCAACCAATCCAGAAAAAACCCCACCAACTGTCATACAGCCCTATGACATGAAAACAAGAGAACCCTGGTTATAGTCCGGTGCCAGCCCTTGTGCCATGGTGCTCTTAAGAGCATTTCCAATTGGCCTGCCTTGCATTTCTGATAGATAGTTAATATTTGTAGTTATATTGGGCTAATGAAAACCCAGCAAGAGAGTTGGGGTGAAAGACTTTTTCACAATAGCCCCTAGTGACCTGGTTGGTCAGAATAAATCGTTATAGGATATTCTCTTTACTGATATTGCCTAATTCAGATAAGCTAATAATATTAACACCAAACAAAAATAAAAAAACACAACTTCTCTGATATAGATGAAACTTTATTTATATATAAAAAATTACACCTCAGGAATTCTTTTCTAAAAAGTCTTTTAATTGTAAAATTCAAAATGAAAAGATTGAAAGGGGCAGTCCATAGCTTTTTAATTTTGTACACACTACAGTCACAGTTAGATTTTCAAGATGCAAAAAATATACCTCTCCTATAGTAGGAAATGCATGACCAATGTAACTGTACTTAAATCACATGATGGCATTGAAAAATCAAAGGAAAATAAATTAACATTCTGAAATAGAAGATGTGAGTTTGAAGTCACATGGCACTATCTCTGACCACTTGCCTCCCCAGTAATTCTTCCTTGGTATATAACTCAACAGGGAATTTTTTCCCTAACGTCGCCATGGAGAAAGTGGAGAGAGAAGTGATAGGGCGCTTGTAAATAGTCTGAAATTGATCTTTCATGATCACACAGTTCTGATTAATAACATTAACATTATCCACACTATCTAAGAAACAAAAAGTGCCATAATGCTCTGGGATCAAATAATTTATATAATAACCGTTAATCTCTTCTGGAGCATGTAAGCCTCAGTACCACGAAAATCTCAACCTCACTTCTAAAAAACCCCCATGAATTCAAAGAACCATTGAATGTTCAAGTGATTAAATGTCAAGTGATTGCTACATGCAAACAAGATTAAGAACTCTTAGTAAGACCGTGGCTTGTGCTTGAGAGCAGGGCTTAATTTAGACACTCTGCACAATATAAAAAGGATTTATCTGATACAACAGTCTTATTATGGATTTAGCCACCATCTCTCACCTTTTGTCTCCCTTCCCAATACCTCCACTTGCTAAAGCCACCATTTATTTATTAGTAATGTGGTAAATTTGAAGCATCTAAATCTATCTCAGAGGACAATTTAGAGAAGTGGACAAAATCATATAAATTCAGGTATAATGAACTTAAATGTCACCTTCATCAGTAAACAACATCAAAGCAGCTGCTTCATTTTTTGAAATTACTGTTGCTCTTTTTAAGTTTCAAAAGAGGTCACAGTTTTATAAAGCTTGGCTAAGAAGCGTAGGACACTAAAAAGGTCTTATTAGAAAATGTCAACACTCTCAATTTTCTGCCAGATGTGTTGATTGAATCAGGCCTTTTGCAGCTTGGAGGAGGGGAGGGAATGGAATGAACACCTTTCCATTCTGTGCACATAGCTACTTGGTTCCTTTATTGTCAGTGTTGTGATACTGGGTTTAGTGTCTCCATGGGGCAGAAGACCTCTGGTCTGGCCTTATATTTCACTAAAACTGGCCTCACTGGAGCATGAAAGAGCATTAGATTTGAGGTGGCAGTAAGGTGGTAACTTGTGGAAAGTACTAGGCAGAAAGAAGAGGCCTTTCTCCCTTTTGCTAGGGTCATGGGCGGGCCACGGGTGAGGGGCGAAACAGTCAGTAATATAGAACTATCCCTGCCCCCTTGAGATGAAGAAAGCAAGACAAAAGTAGCCACAGGTGACATTTTTACTTTAAAAATTACCAAATTTCCCAAAAATACATGTCAAGAATTTGTAGAAGAAGGAGGAACTAGAAAACGTTTCTTCCTTCCATGAGGGAAAAAAATCGTAACAAAATTAAACAAAAGCAACGGATGCTGCTGCATAAAGATGTGTGTCCAGAAAATATCACCCATGAAAAATGACATTTTTCGTCAAAAGGTAGCTCTGTTCATTACTGCTTAGACGAGAAGCCTTTTCATGCATTTGCTTAGGAAACTAATTCATCTTTTTAACAGCAACACCCCTTGATTAAGCTACTATTTACACTTATTATGGAAAACATCATTGCACTGCTATGAGTAGAAAGAGAATCATTTGTACCATTATTTGAACAGTTTACTCAATTTTTCATAAAGCCCAAATGAACTAGAATCAGAATCACAATTGATTTCCCATTAAAACCTTATGCTTTATCAAGACTAGAACACAGGACTGGCAGAACAATTAGTATCAATTTGTAAGGAACTATCACTTACGAAATTTGAATTCAGGCTTTTCACTATTTAGAATTTTCTCTTTAACACCTTACAGCATTCCAAACTTAAAATGCTCCCACTACGGTGGTCATGATTACCGAGTTTCATTTTTTTTAAAAGCCTATTCATGATTGACATAAAAGACCTGCCCCCAATAAGTTAGCTAAAATCTGTTAAATATAAACGGGTAAAGTAAGATCAGGGTAAAGTAAGATCAGGGTAAAGTAAGATCAGGGTCAAGCAGAGTTAAAGACTCAGCGAGCTTTGGGTGGTTGCGGAGCTGAGCTGTGGTCTTCACACTGCAAATGATTAACGGCACATCGTGTCCCGCAGGTTGCCTCTCCCTAGGAATACTTATTAAAGTTGAAAAAAATCAAAATAGTTTTTCCTTCGCACATTAGATAACACAGAGACCCTTCTTTCTGACTTAAAAACAAACAGACCAGAAAACCTAAACAACAAATAAAAAGCCCTGAGTTAACAAGCAAACTGTTAACAAAATAGTCAAGACCTCCATACCTTCTGTTTTCAAGGAAATGTGTATTGACTGCTGCAGTTTTGGGGGAAAACCCAAATCATTTCAAATTCATGGGTTGACTGCAGGGACCTGGCACACTGTCCAGGGCAGGTTAGCGATTTCTGACGAGGAGGTCTTGGCATGGCAGAGGCTCAGTGCGTCGTCCTGACTAGGTCTGAGAGGGCACTTGAGACACCACGAAAATTAGGGCGTGGGGGGAAATCCTCTTAATTATTTGAAGAAAAGCCCACGCTTTCTCAGAAGCCAAAGACACATCAACTTCTATGCTACATGAGAAATATTGATTTTATGTTTCCACATGACTTTAAAAAACAAACAGAGCAAGGTAAGTTTGTATGGTTTTTAAGACTAAATTAAAGTAAGGAATCTCTAACCTCGGGAAACTCAAGGCAAAGGAATAAAGGTAGACAGATAAGAGTATTCTTCAACTTTTCTTCATTGCACAGGGAAATCCCCCTAAGTAAGAATAAGACAATTCAGTAAGTTGGAAAATATTTCTCACTTTAACTGTATTTCCCTTAAAGCCACATTTTAATATTGATGTAGGTTTCATACAATTCAAAAAATCATGAAGATGTTAAAAAGCAGCCTAGCTTTTATGTGATTCCTTAATCACCATGACGAACCCTTGTGAATTTGGGCTATAAACGAATGACCTAATGGTTTTGAACCTTAACGTCTTGAACTTTTAAAAGCAACAAACATTTTCTAATTGTGACTCTGTTTAACTCAAAGATATGAGCAAACCTCCTTTCTTCCTCCTTGAATAAACCAGTTTCCTTTGCCTTTTCTCATAAACTAAACTTTTATTTTAGCATTTTTAATAGCAATGCACTGTTAGGCTATTATGAGGACAAGGCTACTTTTCAATAAACCACATTTTTAGCCCAAAAAGACTGAATTTTCAAAAATCAGTTTACTTATAAAAAAAAGACTCAGAGGTTTATAATCTACTCCTTATGAAAAGAAATGGATTTTTGCACATATTTATAGGAAAAAATGTATTTTTAGAAAAGTTCAAATTTATCGGTATGAAAATATACCTCACTGAAATATACTTACTTATAAAAACATACTGCCCTTGCCATGTGAAAACCTGGTGTTCAGTTCTCGAGATTTCTTTATGAGGACTTTTTTCTGAGCTTCATCAAACCGATTAACCTTGAGGTCCTTATCACGGTCAAATGGTATTCTCTCTTGGGGCTTATTTTTATCTTCAGCAGCCTTCTTCTTTAATTTTTTATGATGAATGTCCATAAGAGATTCTGATCTTTTTGATTCCTGAGGAATGCAACAAAGTAGAAATAAACATCTTAGTTTATATAGATTATTGACAGACTATGATAATGAAACAAAATAGTTAAGTGTTAATGGTGAACATTAGAGGGGCTATTTACAAACCCCAATAGGTTTTCAGAATCCAAGACAGCATCTATTAAGAAAATTAGTATCAGGCTAATTCAATTCAACCAAAATGAAGACATCTACTAACTACATGCCACACACTCAAAAAAGAACCAGACAGAGAAGAAACCAATGTTTAATCCATAATGAAAAGCATTGTGTATCGAAACTCGAGTACAAAAAGAACATGGGTGGGCCAGCTGAGTGACTCAGTTGGCTAAGAGCTCGCTGGAGAGTATGAGCTCTGAGCAACAGGGTCACCGGTTCATTTCCCGGCCCAGGCTGAGCTGCCCACAGATGGCAGGATGGTTCAGCTACAAAAAAAAAAACAGAACATGGGTGAGAAAGAAAGAGCAATTACATCCTCACTTGGGAGCCTGGTTAAAGCTTCACGGATGTGTTAGTCCGTGGAACCCACACGGGTGACTGGGAAGGGAAGGGCGGTACCAGGTTGAAGCAAAAACAAGGCCATATGCTACAACATGGGTAGACCTGTTAGAGGGTAGTCTAAGTGAAGTCAGTCAGACAGAGAAAGACAAACACCATATAATTTCACTTATATGTAGAATCTAAAAAACAAAAAAACAAAACAGAAACAAACTCATAGACACAGAGAACATTTTGATGGTTGCCACGTGGCAGGGGGGTTGGGGAGGATGGGTGAAAAAGGGGAAGGGATTAAAAAGTACAAATTAGCAGTTACAAAATAGTCAATAATAATGTAATAACTCTGTATGGTGTCAGATGGGTACTGGGCTTATCCTGGTGACCTCTTTGTAATCTACATAAATGTCTAATCACTATGTTGTATACCTGAAACTAATATAATAGTGTATGTCAACTGTAATTGAAAAAATTTTAAAAGTAATCTCTGCTTTATAGAAAATAATAATCACTTGCCATCTCCCTACCCCTCTCCCCCCCCGAAATCACCCAGGTTCTCGTACAGATCACCCCTCAGAGGAACCCACTTTGTAGATCATTCTTCCTGGTAGTTTGGTGTTAATAGAGAGGAGAGAGGGTGACAACATGAAGGAGAAGGAGATGATGGAGAACTCTAATGTAACAGAAATACAATTACATATGAATACATAAATGCTGTACTATAACAAGCTATAGACTATTAATATAAAAACTTATCTTTTACACCATTTCTCCACATTTTCACTCTTTTCCCGCAGATGAGAAAATAATTCATTAATGAGATAATAACGATGAAGGTAGACAGGCTATCAAGGATTCGAAGGGGAGGGCCTGAACACATAAGAAAAAGCTGGAGAAAACAGAGAACAAAGTTTGCAGATGCGAGAAAAAATGAAGTTGTAGAGGCCCTACTTCACCTAAAACCCTACTGAGAAAAAGGATTTATACTGATGAGTAAAACTGTACAGAAGGTACAAAAAAGCAAACAAAAATGCAGAACTACAGTTGGCAGGTTGCAATTTCCTGATCCCCTATACAGACAGTTCCCGGTTTATGATGTTTCAACTTACGATTTTTTGACTTTACAATGGTGTGTAAGCAATATGCATAATTAATTATATGAGATACTCAACACTTTATTATAAAACAGGCTTTGTGTTAGATGATTTTGCCCAAATGTAGGTTAATATGTGTTCTGAGCACATGTTCTGAGGTAGGCTAGGCTATGCTAGGATGTTTGGCATGTTAGGTGTATTAAATGCATTTTTTACTTAATATTTTCAGCTCATGATGGGTTTATCAGGACATAACCTCATCAAGAAGCATTTGCTTTGGGGCCGGCCGAGTGGCTAAGTTGGTTAAGAGTGCAAGCTCTGAGCAACAGGGCCACCGGTTTCATTCCCACATGGGCCAGTGAGCTGCACCCGAATTGAGCTGCCAAAAGGTGGCAGGATGGCTCAGTGGTTAGAGCGTATGGTCTTAGCAATGTTTTCCGTTTCAACTCCCACATGGGATGGTGGGCTGCACCCACCTGCAACTAAGATTGAACACCGCACCTTGAGCTGAACGGCTGCGAACCGCTGATGGGCAGCCAGACGGCGAATGGACTTGGAGCTGAGCTAGCTGCGCCCTCCACAACTAAGACTGAAGGACAACAACTTGGCTGTTCCCCTTCCCCAATTCCCCACCACTGTTCCCCTTCCCCAATTCCCCAATAAAATCTAAAAAAAAAAAGCATCTGCCTCAGTAAATTAAACATCAATAAAGATGGGAACACAATACACCACTGGACTATTATAATCAATTCAAACAATTCAAGGTCTCAAATTTGTTAGGAGAAAAGAAATCAACTGTTACATCGGTTCTTTCAGTTGTACTGTCTGTCTGGTGTAGCATAATTTGCACATTGTTACATACATGACCAAACTAGTACTATTAAAAAATAATAAAAACCCTAGAATCAGTCAGTTCATTAAAAATCACACCGAAGGCAAATCCATGTAGAGATCAATTTCCTAATTGGCCAATTTGCTGACTTACCAAATTTAATCATTTAACAAAAATATATGTGTTTTATAACAATTTATAAAAGCCAGAGCAATTTATGTGAAATGGGATGTTTTAGTAGCTCTTGAAAATTTATACTAAGATTCCACTTGTTTGGTTTTCATTTTGTCTTCATGGTAATATTTTTAAAATAGTGTTCGATTTATCGACACCAAGAGTTACAGGGTAGTTTAGTCTTAAGACTGTGTTAATATTTTGAAAAGTATTTCTTGTAAGTAACCAAAATTTCAGCTTGAGATTAGAACCCGAATTTTTTTGATGTATTTTAGAGTCAATTGCAGACATCATTACATATACCCCTAAGTACTTTATTCATCATCCATTTCATTAGAGTTCAATATTTGTTTTTTTTCAGCTGAGCCATCCTGCCACCTATTGGCAGCTCAGCTCGGGCGGGACTCGAACTGCTGTTGCTCAGAGCTTGCACTTTTGAGCCAGCTCTTAACCAACTGAGCCACTTGGCTGGCCTTAGAGTTCAATATTTGTTTACAATTTTTTTTAAGGTAAATTTACACACAATGGAATGGACAAATCTTAATATTACCATCACTAAGTTTTACAATTCAAACTTCTATCAAGATTTGGAACAATTCCATCACCCCAGAAAGCTCCGTATGCCCCTTCCTAGTGAACCCCCCCATTCTCACTCCAACAGCTACTATTCTGATTTTTTTCCACCATAGATTCATTTTATTTATTGTACAGCATTATATAAATGGAATCATAGAGTATGGATTTGGATAGGAAGTCTCATGTAAGACATTTTTCATTCAGTGTAACGACTTTGAGATTCATCCACGTTGTCACATTTACTTGTAATTTGTCCCTTTTTATTGCAGGGTATTACAGTATTTCATTGTATACACAGTTTGGGTTTTCTTTCTCTTTAGTGGACACCTGGGCTGTTTACAAATTTAGCTCTTATGAATAAAGCATCTATGAACATTCTTGTACAAGTCTTTCTGAGGCTATTATGAACACAGAAGGTTCAAGTTTTTGTGTGGACACGTTTTCATTTGCTCTTATGTAAATATTCAGGGGTGAAGCTGCAGAGTCACAGGGAAGGTGTATTCTTAGTTTTATAAGAAATGCCCATTTGGAAAAAGGCACGGCTTGTGCCTTTTCAATTATTTTCGACTACTCTTTTCTATCATAACTCATTATGACTATAAAGTTTGCCTCTAAGTACCGCTTTATATTGCATCTCATACTTTTCGTATCATTTAAGTTTAGGTATTTTCTAGTTTTCATTATCATGTCTTCTTTGATGGAAAGTTTAAACTTTGAATTTTTCTAATTTCCAGTTGTATAAGGTTTGCTTTTTTTTAAAGATTTTATTGGGGAATTGGGGGGATGGGAACAGTGCTGGGAAATTGGGGGAAGGGGAACAGACAAGTTGCTGTCCTTTTGTTCTTCAGTCTAGTTGTGGAGGACGTTGCTTCACTGGCCCATGTTGGTATTGTGATCATTGCGCTCTTCCCGGGTGAGGTAGATTTTGGTCACTGGCCATTGGATGGCCACTCATGGTGGCTCACGATAGCTCACGCTGGCTGCCGGCCACTCACGGTAGCTGCCGGCAGCTTCACTGCAGCCTACGCTGTCGCCGGTGACTTACAGCAGCCCAGCTCCAGGTTGAGCTGTTGTTCACCATCTTACCTGTAGAGGGCGCAGCATCACTGGCCCTCATGTGGGATCCGAACCGGGGTCCTGTTGCTCAGAGCTGGCATCCCAAGCCAACTCTTAACCAACTGAGCCACTCGGCCGGCCCTGTATAGAGGGCTTTTATGTTTTCTGAATTTTAACTTAAATTCCTTGTGGTCAGAGAATATAGCTTGAATGGTGACTCTTTCAATTTTGTTAAGGTATGACTTTTGAGCTTGTCAGTGTTCATAAATATTCCATGGGGATTGAGTTTTTGGTCACTTTCCAAAAATGTCTTATGTGTGCTTCACCGTTTGTGGTACTGATCTGCAAATGTCCAATAAGTAGTTCTCACTACAGTTTTCATGTTTGTGGAACTTATTAACTAATACCTTGGGAATGGAACAGAGGGTAATTTTCCTGAACACCTTTGAGGGGTCAATGGGTTTAGTGATTACATTTATTCTTTGAGCTGGAACACCAGTTGTTTTTTTATTCCCCCCAAGTGAGAGAATATAACAAAATAACACTATACCAAATGAATACTGATTGTTTAGTTAATAAATTTAGATTGAACCATATTTTAAAAATATTTTTTCTTCCATATTTAAATCTTTACATGAAACATTCCAAACTTGCTTATAATTTTGACATGTATGGACTGAGGCTCTATAGGAGTTCAAAGAGCTTACTTTCTGATCACATGCTACTGATCTCTACGAATTAATTTTCTGATCTATGACTTAAAAAAACCCCACAACAACCAAAAAAATTACATGGGATACATGAAAAAACACTACACAAAAGGATTTTATATAAATATGTATACACAACAGGGTTGAATATTTTTGAGGACAGACATATAGTAAAAGACTGAGATAAAGAGAAGACATGTGAAAGAAAGAGAAACAAGTAAAAAACAAATGAAGAGCATTAAAAGACACAGAAAAAGGTTATATGAGTACATTTTATTCTCTGACTTACATTGTACGAGGACACCTGCTCAGCCAATCTCTTCTCCCTTCCTGACAATACACGCTCCTCATCCTTCTTACTGAATGACTTCTTTGCTTCTTGGGTCTCCTGAGGAATGAACACAGATAACACGTTACTGAACCATATAATTAAGAGAAAACAAAAAAAGAAACACTAGTATTTTTACTCATATTGAGTAATCAGAGACTAAACTAAGCCAGGCGAACCTCTTCCGACTGGAAGTGTTAATATACTTGATAAGAGATCTATTAGTGTTCTAAGATTTTCCTGAAAAAAAACCCAAGAAAAAAAACAAACAAATCCAACTCTAGCCATTCAACTAACTGGAAGAACCACCTATGTCTTGAACTCAGAGATGAGTTTGACAAACGATGAAATGTAGCAGAAAAAATAAGGCTTAAAAAGAAATCTTGTGTTCATTTTCAAAACTTTGAAAATCACTCTTGAGGGTACAAATTATGAAAAAGAAGTAAAAGGTGTACAGATTGGAAAAGAAGAAATAAAACTATCTTTATTCGCAGACGATAAGACTGTTTATGTAGAAAATCCCAATGACTCAATAAAAAAACTGGAACTAGTATAGCAAAGCTGCAGGATACAAGGTCAATATACAAAATATACCAACAAAGAACAAGTGGAATTTGAAATAAAAAAAACCCCAAACAACCATTTACCATAGCACACACACACAAATGAAGTATGTAAACTTCCAATAAAATTTAGTTAGAAAAAAAAATTCTGGAGAACATAGTGCCAACCAGGAATGAAGACGGTTCCCATAAAAACAACTGAAAACCATTGTTCTCAAAGCATGTTTTTATACTGTTGATATTTGCTGAAGAAAACCAGTCAGGCCCTTATACAACTTTTATCTTAATAATGGCCTGCAACAACACTGTATTTAATAAAGTACATTAAAAAACAGGAATAGCTCATTTCTTACTTTTCCATAAAAAATTTCCCAGAAAACTGATGCTTCTACTGTATTTGTAAATATTCAGAGAAAAACAATTTTATGGTAGATGGAGATAGAGACCTGACCATTTAATATTAAGAGTTAATATCTAGTCAGGACTGGGAGGTGAGAACATAACAGATCTTATTCGATTAATTTATGCATCATACTTCTATTTCTCGCTAAAGAGCAATTTTACTTCTTTCAGGTAATGTTGGCCGAGTGAATGTGAGAACAGGAGTCGTATGGGAGATGTATGCTGGGGAATCAAATATAAACAAGTGGGCTGAAGTGGTGGACACAGCCTATCAAAAAGGAATTTTGGAAAACAAAAAAAGGAAACGACTAAGATCTGTTACAAAAATTAAAAATTAGTCATGAACTTTATACAGGATCAAAACCACCAGAAAACGAATAGCTTTGTGAAACTACACAGTGCAGACCACACATATGCAAGTTTGTGGTGCTACGTGCTGTAATACAGTACCACAGACAATCTGAGGGGTGTTCATAAGCCCTTTATGAGTCCACTGTAAACACTGAACAAAACGTTTTCAGGCCTGAAAAGGACTAGGTCTGAAGAGCTCGGTCACTGGGTCTCAACCACTTCTGTCACAGTCGCACTGCCGAGCTACTATTTCCATTTTCCTCTGAACAAGACTCCCTGCATGTCTGCCTGTAGGTTAGCATCTACTCACCCACCGCGAGGAGCAGAAGGACAGAAAAAACATGTGTAACTGTAGGCATGGATACAAAGTCCCTGTGAGCAAGGGGATTAACTGTATTTCTGGAGATAATCTTAAAGGCTAAGTTATAAAAACACCAATAGTATGTTACTTTTACAAGAAAGCAGGTAAGAGAGATTAGACAGGCCTTCCAACACCAGTCATGCAAAGAGGGGGCCCACGGCTATCCCACATCTTCTGTTGTCTCTTCTGCCCCCATGTGTGTCGGTTCGCCTCACCTTCCTGTTACAACTCTCGGATTTCCTTTCATCTTCAGGGTGAAAGAGAACCTAAGAAGTTGCCACATATTCAGGGCAGGGGGCTAAAATGCGGAGACCTCAGCATACCATCCACATTTTAGGAATAACACCATCTCACAAACAATTCTCCACTACAGTGAAGGCTCCTTAAGGAGCCTTCTCATCTTTCTATTACCCGCAAACAACAGAATGCCTATGCAGAGGTTATAATTACAGAGTGAAAACAGAAATCCTCACAATTCTAGGTACTCAGGGACAAGATAAACAGAGTGGAATGGATTCAGTGTGCAATTGATTAAGTCAGAACCAACAAAGCTATAATCACAAGGTGCCAATTAGTTAAATATTTAAGATTTAAATAAGCTATGTTAACGGAATTAAAACCTTTGGCTAGAGTAAGTGTAAGGAGTAGTGCTGGGGACATTGGCTAAACTCCTAATTTACTATGAAATATTTCTTAGTAAATAGAAAAGACTGAAGAAAAGAAAATTTAAAAATAATAATGCATTTTATGCATACTTTTTTGGGTATATATTTTGTAAATCATTTAATTATTCATGAAAGTGCTTTTTTATTGAGGTATAACTGACATAACATTGTGTTAGTTTCAGGTGTACAATGTACTGATCTGATATTTGTATATATTGTGAAATGATCACCACAGTAAGCCTCGGTTAACATCTGTCACTATACATAGTTACAATTTTCTCCCTTGTGATGAGAACTTTCAAGATCCAGTGTCCTAGCTACTTTCAAATATGCAATACAGTATTAACTATAGTCACCATGCTGTACATTACATCCCTAGAACTTACTCATTTTATAACTGGAAATTTGTACTTTTTGAACCCCTTCACCCATTTTGCCCAATCCCCCACCCCCACCTCAGGCAACCACCAATCTGTTCTCTATATCCATGAAGCTTGCTTTTTTTGTTTATTTTTTTATTTTTATTTTTTAGATCCCACACATAAGTGACACCACACAGTCTTTAGCACTAGTAACGAAAGTGCTTCTTGCCTATCTTGACAGTAACATGAACCTTACTGCACCTGGGAGTTTCTATGTATTGTTTAACTATCTAGACGTTGGGTTTTTTCAAGGTATTTTAAAAGATACACTGTCATGGAGATAGTATGATGTTGTGTAAGGACCAGTTGTGGAGTTTCTGACTGCAAGAATTTAAAGTTGGAAAGGTCTACAATGGAATTATTGTTCATCAGTTACCAGCATTGTAATTCCAGAAAAGTTGACGTCATAGAGTTGTTTCTCCTATAAAAGGAGGTCAAGAAACCCATGTCTCAAGGGTTTCTAGAGATTTAATTGAGACAATTTATTGGGAAATAGTAAGCAATTGGTGTCACTTTCCTTCCAACTTTCCTTCAAGGGGACATCTGTATTTCCCCTTTGGAATTATACTTTTAAAATAGTACCCTTATATAACTTTGCCTTGTTTTTTCAAAATCGAGTCAACATGGACAGAAATATGTGAAGAAACCCTTTCACCTTCGCTCTCCTTTCCCGGTCAGCTGGGGTATCTGTCCAGACTGATCGATCTCCAGATTTGTCATCAGCTCTTCTCTTAAACGTTCTGGGCCCAAGACCAAAGCCTTTCAATTCCGGAGGAAGCTCAGTCATCCACGACTCCCTTGTAATTGGTTTAGAATCCTTTAAGAAAAACAAAAAGTTAAAAAAAAAAGTAGCCTGGAAAGAGAGTGTGTGTGTGTGTGTATATATAAAATACTTTATAAGTGATTATGTTTCTCAACTGAGGCTTTAAAGTTAATAACAGACTTTAAGACAAAGGATTTAATAGAAAGGATTGATGTTTTTGTCACATACAAGTAGTTGCACCTAATTTATTGTTGACTTTATTTTTTGCTATACAAAAAATTTTAAGCAGGCAAACTTGCCAGTTTTTTCCTTTCATAGCTTCTGGGTTGCCCAGCTCCAAAATTTTCTTTATATATACAGACACACACACACACACACACACACACACACACACACATTTTAAATGTCTTTAAAACTTAGATTTTTAATGTAGTCTATCTCTCAGAGTAAAGTAGATATGTTTAAAACTTACGTCATCTCCTTTAGTCAGCTTTTCCTTCATTCTCTGGGCCCTTTTTTCAAACTCTGTTGTCACACTATAGTTAATCGGCCCCTTTGCAGGCATTGGTCCAACAATGTTCTCGTCTTCACTGCTCTCTGTTTCCTTTTGAAACAAGACATTCCCTTTAAACCAAGAGCAGAGCTGCAGGTTGTAGAAAATGACCCTAAATTATTTAAAATTTAGCTGAAATGGATGACCTAGAGACAATAAAACAAAAAAAAGCCAGCAATATATTGCTGGGTGATCACTGAGTGATGAGAACCCTTTCTGTGCCTTTGTCAAGTGCACAGCAGAGAGACGGCAAATCACAGCGTGGGGATCGTCCCGCCTCTTGTCCTATGCCCACGGCAGACCTCATCACATTATTTCTGCTCTCTTCCTGACGGACAAAGATGTGGCCTCACAATTCTCCTCACGATGATATTCTAGGTAATTATTATCGATTAGTCAGAGATGATACAAGTTGAGACCATCTGCATTCCTGGCACAGAAAAAGCTCTTCGGAATAACATGCACACAAACGAGACGTTTTTGGAAGCGGCAGCAGCTTTATGTTTCAGGACAGCCCGCTGACACCGCAATGCTGGGCTATTCCTCACGAACGCCAACCCGAATGGGCTCATGCGATTCCCAGCATACCTCACCTACCCCAAAGATGTAACAGTACTGCAACGGTTGAATTCAATTTGTTCTCAATAAATCACTTTAATAAAGGGCTTTTATGTGACCCTCAGGGTTAGATGCTATACACAGTAGGGTTTAAAGCAGTCCTTGTCCTCAAAAATAAGACACATTAAAAGGAACAATAAAACACATTTGTCCTCCAGCTCTGACAGGCAGTTTCTTCCTCTTATTTTTCCAACTACCAGCATCATTTGTACTGTTGACACGTCCCCACTAACCACTGAAAGGTAACTTGCCATCTGCGGTTTCTTCTCTGAACCCTTATAAGTGATTGCTGTTGGTGCAAATACCTATGGACTGTCTTGTGGCTTCTCTGGATCATTCTCAGTCCCTCCCTCCTTCCCTCCCTCCCTCTCTCCCCCTCTCCCTCATCTCTCTATCAATAACTATGGACTATAGTATACGATGCCCAATTTGATCCTCATAACAAAACTGTGAAATGGCATTATTTGTTTTCTTTTTGAGGAAACCTAGGTTAATATTTCGAAAGGTTCAACATCTGTCTGAGGTTATAAAAACTAGTATCTAAGACGCAAATATTCTAAGATCAAAGCTAGTGTTTTTTCTACTTATACTTCAGCAGCCCCTTTTGTTTTATTTCAACTGTTAGTGATTTAACTTCAAGTGTTTATAGCTTATCTCTGCAACAGTAAAAAACTCTTTGATGTCAAAGACATTATCTTAAACAGATGTAAAATCCCCTGCAATTATAATACTTGGTGACATGAGCAGATATAAAAGATATAATGAACTTTTAAACTATAAGAGACATGATAGCAATACAGCATTGAAGTTTAAAATGATGGGATAAGTTAATGGTATTTTATACTTCCATCTAACAGGGGATGGTTTTATGAAGGGAAATTTCAGCATGTCTTAGTAGAATGATGCCTGAAATTTTTAGGAATAAAAATTGCTTGGGATGTTGGGAGACATAAACTAAATAGTTAGATGGGGGAAGAAACAGGAAATCGGGTCCAACACACTAAACTGAAAATGAGAAACCCGAATCACAACCCCAAATCAATCTAGGTATTAAATCATGTGGGTGTCTTGGATGAGTTAAATTTTTTTAAAAGGTGAGTTATTTTATCCAGAAATATAATACACACCCCGCTGGTTTGTAGTTTGAGCTGCAGAGTTAAGACAGACCAAGTTTCAGGGGCTCAGTTTGTCATAATTATCCCTGTGACCTCATGCTTGTTATTGAACCTTTCTAGGCCTCGTTTTCATCTTTCAGATGGGGACTATAACAGCTTCAACAATAACTACTCTCTTGCTAAGACAACACTGTCTTTGTTCATCCTTTTTGGAGCCATTTTCTTCTCAGGAAACTGGGACCTTCTCTAACTCCTGGGAAAATGGTGGTAATTCTAAGCCAAACACTTTGATCTCATTCCTTTTGAAAAACTGGTTGGCTTAGGCATGGGCTTACGATTCCATGTGGCCAAAGAAACGCGAGAAGAGGTCTCCAGGAAACCCAGGAAGGTTTTCTTCCCTCTGAAAAAGGGGCACAGGACACGGACGATCCCCTTTTATGTCTGGATGTTTCTACCTGCATGTGAATCTTAGAACTTTGACAGGCTTCTTGGTATCCTGAAAGGGTCAGCCTAAGAGGAATGCACACGTTGTAGATGATAGAGAAGATAGAAAAACTGCAGCCCTCGCCGATCCATTTGGCGGTTAAATGAACAAACCCTGGAATGAACGACCCTGCCTCTAGACCTCTTATTATGTATGGAATATATTTTCCTTATTTGGAGATTATAGATTATAAACCAACCAGGAAATTATATAAACAACCCATCTGCTAACTAAGGAAGTTAAGACAAAGTTCCATTTTGAGTTGGATTTTCTGTTACTTGCAGCTAAAAGCATTCTAGCTGAAATACCATCCCCCAGGATGACTGTTTGGATTAAATTAAGTTCATGTAGTTATGCAAATATAACTAAGTCAAACAAATACCACTGTTGTGCTTTGCAGTGTATGGTTTGCGGCAGGTGCTCAACAAATGTTAACCATTATAATAGTATTATCATGTACGTCTTCGTTTGGGGGTATACTCGTATGTTGTGAATGAGACTAAGAGGAGTCTGTCTTTGAGAAAGGAAAATAAGAAAGCAGAAAAAGAAGTGTCTTTTGAACAAGGTTTAAAGGGAAATTGCAAAGCAGAGTATTCAGAGCTAAGAGGACCTTAAACAGGTATACTGTGGTACAACCTCTACCCCACCTCCACCCCTTCCCTTTTGCTAAGAGAAGCTAGAGAAAGTAGAGGAGATGCCACCTAGGGAGTTACATCAGCACCCATTTGCTGTCAAGGTGAGTTAGGACAAAGTTCCAGGTGTGAGTAAAGTTGACTTAGTATTCAAAATTTTTATTTTGAAAGATGTAGTGCCAAGACAAGTACAACCAACACCCATGTACCCTCACCCAGATCCATCCCTTGCTAACATTTTAGCACATTCACCTTTCCTCCCAGCCCCCCGCCACCCTTCTCTCTGTGAGGCAGACAGGCAGTTGGACAGACACACACTTTTTGTGTGTGGATCATTGGAAAGCAGGTTACAAATAGCATGAAAAGGCCCTAGACTGATGCAGACTTTCCTAAGGACAGCGGGTTTCATCTCTCTAGTACTCTTTAGGCAGACAGAGCAGTGCATGGAGGCTGTGGGTTTTATTTGGAGGGTTCAAGTCACCCTCCCTGCCCAAGTGACCTCAAACCTATGGGTCCTGTCCCCAGACCAATCCTTTAGGGCTCATGTGGGGCCCTCTGCTGAGGAACTTGTTTACTGCTCTGGCTTTGACTTCTCTCAAGGTTCTCAGCACCTGCAGATTTCCCTTTCTTCCTTTTAAGCTTAGCTGTGTATTAATTTTGCTGCCATCTTGTTTCCCCCCAGCATTCCTCTGTGAATGTGGCAGGCAAAGCCTGGCCTGAATGTGTAGCTCAGTCTTCACGTGGCTGGAAATCTGTCCTCTGGTACAGGTTTTGCACTCCAAATTCACCCTTTTGCAAATCAAATTCATCTTTTTGCAGATCAAATTTTTCCACAAAAACATTTTCTTAATCTTTGTAATAAAAATAAATTCAATGTTAAGTTATTGTTAAAATTAAACATTTTATTGCTTGTATTTAATACTAACATAAAATACTTATTTAACATCAGAAATATTTATTTACTTACAGCTTCATTTATAACGGTTCTCCTGCTGCTGCTTGTGGTAATCTCATATACATATTCATAGAATAATTATGACAATCTATAGGAGTAACAGTTGCAACGGAATGATTAATAACATCTAGTAAATGTTCATGGTTTGATGGGTCAGCCAAAATATTTCTTGCGCAGAACTTAATTTTTCAAAAAACTTCTTCAATGGGGTTCATCAGTGGAGCGTATGGTGGTACGAATACATAATAAAGTGTGTCTTGTCTGACCAACAAGATCACATGCTTCCTGGGTTTTGTGGAGACTTACGTTGTCCAAAGCGACCCACACTACCTCCAGATTATCTCCATCCAATTTCTGCAATAACCTCTGAAGAAATTTGCAAAAAATATTTGAACTGTAGAATGTGCAATAACTTCATGCCACACCACTCCCTGAATGTTTACTGCTGCAATTAGAGGAACATTTCGTCCTCTAACCATTGGCACGGTCCATGAGCTGGTGTATTAACTTTCGATTGTGCCTTCGTTTTTCAAAAATTAAGTTCTGCGCAAGAAATACTTTGGCTTATCAATCAAACCATGAATTTTAGTAGATGTTATTAATCATGCCGTTGCAACTCCTACAGATTGTCATAATTATTTTATGAATATGTATATGAAATTACCACAAGCAGTGGCAGGAGAACCTTATAAATGAAGCTAGAAGTAAATAAGTATTTCTGATGTTAAATAAGTATTTTATGTTTATTAAGAACATGCAATAAAATGTTTAATTTTAACAATAACTTAACATTGGATTTATTTTTATCACAAAGATTAAGAAAACATTTTTGTGGAAAAATCTGATCTGCCAAAGGATGAATTTGATTTGCAAAAAGGTGAATTTGATTTGCAAAAGGGTGAATCTGATTTGCAAAATGGTGAATTTGGAGTGCAAAACCTGTAATTCATTCCTGTATTTCACCACCTTGCCAGAAAGGATTCCTTATACTCGGTGTAAATTATTCCAAGCTACTCTCATGGCATCAGGAGTGGGGATGGCAATAGTAATAATAAAGCGTTATTATAAGCTGAATACCTACTGTTCTAATTTATCCTACCAACAACTCTGTAAGAGAACCACCTGCATGCTGATAATGAACTAAGCTCGGCCAGAATCCAACGCTCGCTCGGGTGGCTCTGGCCTCTTGCCTTTCTCTTTTACCCTTCTCATCTTTCCACTCTAACCACATCGGATTTCCTTAACCCTAACTTCCTTCCTCTCTGCCTTCAAATAAGCTACCTGTGCTCTCCGGAGCGAGCTTTCCTGCCCTTTTTGCTGAGCTAGCTCCCACTCATCCATCTTCAGTTTAGACATTTTCTCAGAGAAAAAGACTTCTCATTTCTTCAGGTTAGTTTAGTTTTCCTGTCATGGTTCTGCTATATTTTGTCTCACCTTTTGAGTCCCTCATATTAGAAAGTATTTGTCTAATGTATATACTCCCCACTACACTGTGAGCGCGGTGAGGGCAGGGGCTGCGCCTGACTTATTCATTCATTCAACAAAAACTGTGAATGTCTACTGGAGATGAGACAAACATCTCTGTCCTCCATGGACTCACATTCTCGTGGGGAAAGGTCAATAATAAACTAAAAGAAGCAGTAAAATAAATGGTATCTTAGGTAGTGATAAGTACTATGGAGAAAATTAAAGGAGGGACAGGGATAGACGTAAAGAGAAGAGGAATTAGCAACTTTAAATTAGGAGGTCAGAAATTACCTCACTGAGGTGGCATTCCAGCAAAAAACCTGAAGGTCTGGTAGGCCAGCCATAGACACACCTGGGAAAGGCCATTTTGGAGAATCTTAACCTTTGTAAAGACTCAGAGGTAGGAGCCTGCCTGGTATATCTGCGGAGGGCCAGTAAGCAGGCCAATGTGATCAGATCAAAATAAGAGAAAAAGTCAGGGAGTTCGTGGAGGCCAGGCTGCAGAGGGCTGTAAGGACTTGGGCTGTATGCAGAGAGCAGCGATTCATGGTTTTCAGTGTGAGTGACATGACCTGACTTCATTCCCCCAGGCTGCTCTAGCTGCTATGTTGAGAAGAGGCAGTAGAGGAACACGGGCTAAAGCACAATGACCAATAAAACAGGCAACATATGATGTGGACTTGGACCAGGGTGGTGGCACATGTGGCTGGATTCTGGATGTCTTTTGAAGGTTAGCAACAATGGAATTTGGTAACTGATTTGTTTCTGTGACTATATGCCTGACACACGGTAGGTGCTCTATAAATATTGTGGAAAGCATGAACAAATGACTTGGAAGTTCATGATCTTGGCAATGGCTTTGTATTTCCTTTACTAACAACCGCAGTGCAGCTGCCAAATTCTAAGGAGATAAACATACAGGAAGCCACGTAGGGTAACAGAATGAATGGGTGCTTTAAGTCTTAAGAACTGGGTTTAAGCCTTGGCTTTGGTAAGTACAAATGGTGCCATCTTGAGTAAGTCACCCAATGTCTCTGGTCTTCAGCATCTGTAAGATGTGAATCATATCCATCTCATAAGGCCGTGGAGAAGACAAAAATAATATCCACACGAGAAAAATGCTTTACAAATTATAAATCTCAGCTATTGTTGAAGACCTGCCTTCTAACAAGAAAACAGTCTTCACACTGGACTCCCAAATCATTTACTCTATCTTTCCATAAAATTACTTACCCACCAGTGCCTGATACATAGAGGGACCAGAGCTAGGGAGGAGAGAGTTCACTTCAAGGTAGAGATCACTGTTGAAAAATTCCCCAGCTTTCTCTGTTCGGGGTCAAATCACACCGATTCCTTAACATTTTCATCACATTCTATTTGCTAGCACTCTGAAGCTTCCTGTCAAGCTTAAGAAGCATGAGTAGATAATACCCTGCCAACATCATGTTATTCCTCTAACAGAACCTCAGGTCTATGACAAGCTTTTGGCTTCATCTTCCTATGCTATGATCCTAAGTTAATCTGAATATGACCGGGTCTTACACAACATATGAATCGAATGATTGTAGTTATTACTGTGCAAAGCTGAATGTACTACATCTTATCCTTTACTTGAAAATTTTCCAAACCTCAGAGTTGAAATGCGATGATACTTGTCCTGGGTCGCCTCTGGCTTTGTCACTTTTCTGTGTAGCTTTAATAAAACCAGGTGGCAATGCAGGACCTATGATAGGCCTGAAAAATAAAATGTACCTTTATCATTTTCTCTGACTTTAAAAAAAGCAGTTTTCAGAATCAAAGTTCACAAAAAAGAATAAAAAACCAGATAATGACAGATGTTGAAAATGAGAATTTTATTTAACATATTCTTTTAATTCTATAACTTGGTATTTTTCCACTTAATATCCTAAAAAAGTTTAATTTTTGCATTTTTACTTTCTATTTTTTAGTCTATGATTAGATACTAACCCAGTAATTCTCAATCTTTATGGTAGTGGCATATGCCCACTTCCTGAAAGAACTATGTTAACTAAAAATCTTATCTATGTGTGTACACACACACACACACACACAGTAAAACCTTGGATTGAGAATAATGTGGTTTGCGAGTGTCTGCAAGACGAGCAAACATTTCTAATCATTTTAACGTGGTAAATGAGTGATGTCTTGCAATACAAGTAGTTTGTTTCCAGAACGAATTATGCTCGCAAACCAAGATATTACTCTGTGTGTGTGTGTGTGTGTGTGTGTGTGTGTGTATAAATACATACATACATACATACATACATACATACATATATATATTTAAAGAGTCCTCGTTATGGACTAAAGCCCATGAAGATATTTTTCTATTTTGTCTTGGCGTTCAGTTTTGATATTCACTGTCCACTGGAAACCACCTGAGGGGCGTTATAATCACAGCCAGAACTACTTAAGTATAAATTGAGCTCCAAGGTCAGGCACAGCACATGTGTACAGCGGATGTAAACAGTTTACGGTTACATGTGCCAGGTGGTACAAACATCTAGCATTGTCCTCACTAATAATCCAGTGATCACGTGGACATGGACAAGGGCAAGAGTTCACCTGAGACTCACAGGAACCGGAAAGATGCCAGGCTAACCGCACTGCAGCCAGCGCACCTTTCTGCTTGAAGGAATTGGAGCAGCCCTGCCTGGCACACATCACTCCATTTTCTAGGTGAGCAAAATAATGCTCCAGGACAACACAAACCAGTAAGTGGCAGAGTTGAGCTGGAGCCCTGGTCTACTTGACGGAAAGTTCATTTTCTTTCCAGTTGCCCTACTGCCACATTGTGAGGGAACTATCATCAGTCCAAAAGGGAGAAGCGCCTAAATTCTGGGTCTTAAAAAGAGTATGCCTTACTTTGTGTAGAGAAAAAGTAAAAGGTATTTTCTACTCTCTTTCATACTTCTAAGTTTCTTCATCCTTGTTTTGTACCAAAGTGCTCTCCAGAGATGTTACCGGGCCAGTATTAGCAACCAAGATGGTTCTGGCGTCCTAAGCTGAATTTTCCAATTGTTCATTTAGAGCCTCACAGACAGGCCTCCTGGCAGAGGAAAAACAGCACTGGGAGTGAGACGGTGCGGGTGCTGATCCGAGCCACTGCATAACCTCTGTTCTTGCTTCATAAACCTTTCTGGGCCAAAATAATTTTATGTATGAAAAACAGGGCAGTCTGGCATTGTTAGGAAGATCAAACTAGCTATCATTTATAAGTAAGGAAGCACTACCTTGGTTTTGTCTGAGTGTAATTTTTAGCAGATCTACAAATGCAATTACAGCTCAATGCTCTGGCTTCAGGGCATGTGAGGACAAAATTACTGATACATAAAATCTTAAAAGACAGTAAATCTCATGGCTGCATAAAAGGGTTCTGCCGACACTATATGCTGCCACCTGTTTATTTCACACATACATTTTATTACTACCAAAATAGAATTCTCAAGAAGAGACTGCTATACATCTAATAATTTATTTTCTTAAAAGAAATATTATATTCTCAGCAAATTTTCTGTAAAGGGCCAGATAGGAAATTTCAGGCTTTGAGGGCCACATTTGGGTCTCTGTCACATATTTGTCTTTGTTTTTTTAGTGACCCTTTAAAGATCATTCTTAGCTTGGGGGTCATATAAGCAGTAGACTGTGTATTCCTGCTATTTCTGAAATTTAGGAGCTGACAAATGTGATGATAAACTCTGACTATAAAATGAACATCCTTTTTTACTTGTTCTTAAATATTAATATATAGTGTTATGAATTACAATTTAGTGTGTAATTTCATATTCAGCATTTAAAAATTTTATAATTCCAAGAAGACAGGAATCAATATTTACTATGTGCTTACTCTGGGCCAGGCACCATATAAGATATACAGACACATGGATATGTACATAAATATGAAATTTCAATCACAACAATTCTGTAAGGTGTGTGCTGTTATTTTATACATGACAAATTTAAGGTTCAGAAAAGTTAGTCAAATTGTCTAATTTGGCACATGGGGATTTGTTTCTTCTATCAATAAATAATTAAAAATGCCTGAATTAGAAGTTAAACACCAGGATTGTTGGCCCCAGCTCTACCATTACCCTGTATGCAACCTGATCTGTTTAAAAAAAAGGGGAAAGAAGGATACTGTTCTAACCAGCCCACCACAAACACGTCTGTGAGTACAAATAGGAGATGTGGAAGTTTTTAAATAAACTATAAAAGTGTCATAAACATATAAATATTTTTATTATAGAAAAACTTATAATTATTTTTATTTAAATGATTATTTAAATAATTATTTTTATTATATGAATTTCAAATGTTATATAAACATAGAAGTTAAAAAAGAATGTCAGACTTTTTAATGAATTAACAGACACTGGTTGAAATCTTTAGAAAAGACTAGCCTGAAAAATTACACATTATCACCTTGGAGGAGAATCATCTTGTTTTTTAAATCCCGGAGGAAGGGCTGGTCCAAAAAACCCTTCATCATCATCATCATCACCGTCATCACCTTGATTTCTCCTCTGTTTTCTGAAAACACAGTGGTATAACTTTACACATCTACATCAACATTTTTTTCACAGAGAAATTTTAAGTTGTAACTTCAACTAGCTGTATAAATACTGAAATAATAATCTTGCCAAATAAAAAATGGATACACAGTAAGTCTTCTAATCTTTTCCTGGAATTTATTTTTGGCCTAAAATGTTACCAATTGGTTTTCTTCTTTACAGCAGTAATATATCCATTTTCTATATGTTCTGTGGTGTTTAAGATGCCACTCAATGAAGTTTCCAACAATAGTCTACTTGCTAGAAGTTTTTGAGCAAAAAGTTTGACTAGCTTTTAATCTCATTTAAGGAAGGGTTTAATGTTGCTATTTCTGTCTCATAATCTTTAAAATGTATCAAAAAAACCTTGCTACCCAATAATAAACAAAGATTTGATGTTTTATTCCCAGGGACCTGTGGTAAGGCTAGGTTAGAGGGAAATCATTCATTTAACTTAAACAAAATATGTACACTGCACATACGATTTTTAAAAAGAAATTCTATGGTTTATTTAGAATAGTCACTTTAATAATACCTTAAGGAAAAATTCTTTCTCGGGATTTTATTGACATTCTAGATATGTCCACAGCTATGTCCTACTAGAGTACTTTTTTTGTAGAAGGGATAGTTCACAGGGAAATGTCATGTGAAATGATTTCTTCCTGTGCTGTATAGATGCAATTTTGACATCCCCTTACTAGCCATCTGCCCCAGACAATGTATTCTAGGTTTGGAGCTTGGTTCCCATCTCAGTAAGTGACCGACCTTGCAGTTGGGCCAGTGTCGTTGTCTTCAGAGTCTCCATTTCCTTCTTCGCACAAAGAGCTACTGTCCTCGTCGCTGTCTGATGACTCTGAGCTACTGCTTTTATAATCAGGGGGCAGGGCTGGTCCTGCAACTAGAGAAGATTTCTCGTGTATGTCGGAACTAGTCACAACTGTCTCAGTGAACTCCCTCAGTGACATTTTGTACGTTCTTTTCTGAAATTCACAGCACTGGCTGGCTATCACTTGTCACAGAATTTAATCTCATTTGCTCCTGTTTTGTGTAGAGTGGTTTTGTCCTTCCAACTCCAGGAAGGCACAAACCAGGTCTTGCACAGTATAACGAGGAGATTCACAAAAACTTTAATACCCAAACTTATAAGTCTAACAAGAGCATACAATTTCCCTGACATCCTGCAATCTTTGCATTGGTTACGATTTTGTTTGTGCAACTGCTGAAACAGTTTCATGATATTATTTTTCTTACAAACAGCATATGGTAGACAATACTTACATAATGGGGCGAACCAAACAAATTTGCCATTCCATATTCTAATATATCAAATATCAAACTATCCATTCTGGTTTCTGGTTTCATTCCTTCTTCTGAGCCACTCAACAGAGAGACTTGCTGTCACTTTATGTTCTAGCACAATTACAATGCACGATGTCACTGCATGATTGTTATGATGTCACTTAGACACAGCTGTCTAAGTTGATCCTGTGCAGTGATGCTGAAATTCTGCTTCCATAGTTAGTTCCAAGGTTGGATGTATATCAGAATTGCCAATATATTTTTTTAAGAGAAGATTCATGGGCTGTTTCCCCAATGGCTTGACTCAGTTGGCCTTTTTTCAAAGAGCTTCCCAGGTATGCTATTCACTCACAATTAATATTAACAAAAACTTAAAAATAATAAATAAAAGAAAAGCATGTCTCAAGTTCTGATGTGACTTACATGCATTGACCCATTTTACTGACCATAGCTCTATTAGGGAAGTATTATTATTTCTATCTTACAGATGAGAAAACTGAGGCACAGAAAGTAACCTGCCAACGTCACACAACTAAATAGTGGAGCTGGGATATGAACACAGGAGTCTGAGTTCAGAGCCTGTATATGCGCTAGACAACATTCTACAGTCAACATCCATCCACCCATCCAGCAAATACTGGGTAAATACTTCCAGAGAAAGAACGTAACAAAGAATAAACAGGATGACTGAATATGGGGGAGGGTAATTTTAAAGACTCGTCAGGGAAGGCCTCTCTGAGAAGACATTTGCATGGAAACGTAAATGATGAGATGACAGTGGCCATGCAACACCCTGAGGGGAGAACATTCTAGAAGGAAGACTAGCTAGTGCCAAAGTTCTGTGGAGAAAACAAGACTGACGTGCTCGAGGGACCAAAAGGCCTGTGTGGCTAAAGCGAAGTTAGCACGAGGACGAGGTGAAGCTGGATGGTATACAGGGGTCACACTGCACTCTGGGGCCAGTCTCTGGCTTTGAATTGCAGCCACGTTCTAGCTGTGTGACTTGGATGTTACTGAACCTTCCTGTGTTATAATCACGATCTCTAAACGGAGGTTAATAACAGTTTTAAACTCATCAGGCTGTAGATTATGTCAGTTAATATTACACATATATGGAATATTATTCAGCCGTAAAAAGGCAGGGATTTCTGACACCTGCTACAGCAAAGATGACCCGTGAAGACACTTACGCTCGGTGAAATAAGCCAGTCTCACAAGGACAAATACTGCATGACTCTACTTAAATGGGGGTAGTCAAATTTATAGAGTTCGTACTGTATTCTTCCATTTACATAAAGCACAAAAGCAGGCAAAACTTACCTATGATGTTGTAAACCTGGATGGTGGTTACCCTTTGGTTGAAAGAGGGATGGGGAGGGAGGTGGGTAGCGCCTGGAAGATGGCCCCAGGGGCTATAGTGAATTTCAAGGATACTAGTATTGACAAACTTTTTAAAAGTCCAGGTAGAAGAATAATGAGATCACAATCTGGTATCTCAAGATTTGTGGCAACTGTTTTAGGATCAACCATCTAGGCGGTTATGAAGGGAATGGAATTATAATAAGGGGGATTATGTGTTAAAAATGACATGTGCAAGATATTGTGCTTGATGAAAAGGTAGTCATTCAACAAATATGACCAAGGATCTTTTATGTGCCAGGCAGGTTGGAGCAAGGTACAGGGGGATATACACAGGTGAGCAGTGTTAAGTGCTGAATGAAGGTGGGGGTGGGAGTGAATGCACACACAAAACAAGCGAACGGGAGACAGTGGACAAAGAAAGGAATACCTGAAGCAACTGCTGGTAGAATGATGGAAGCAAATAATAACAGAAATATCTACTTGGGAGATGGTGGTTGCTTACCTGCAAATCCTGCCTTAGTTTAAAATCTGGGAATATGGTGAACCAAAAGCAACATACATGTAGGAACCCAACTGAAAAACTTGGTTAACCTCACTTTTATTCAACCATGGTTGAATGGAACCTTCCTTGCTAAAATAAAAGCCCGACTTTTTAAGAGCTGTGACAGAAAGGTGATCTGGAAGGAAACCTCTAGGTGGAAACGTGGCCCCTGGGTAGTCAAATTAGACTGAGAAATGGGAGAGTTACTCTCTTCCAACTTTAGTCAGTCCAAGTCTACAAATCAGAACAAACATTAAAGGAGATAGATATACATGGAGGAGTCTGAGAGGCACTTATTTGGCAAATGATAAGTGCCTACTGTGTTAAGGCCAGAAAAACATAGTGCAATGGTGGACACAGATAAATCAACAAGTTATTCAAAAAACAATGTATCAAAAGCGATGTAATTAAGTAGAAAAAAAAACCTGTGGGTAAAGAGGAAGGCATGACAATGCTTGGGAGAGCTTGGTAAGGCTTCGCTGAGGTGACATTTAAGTTGGGCCCTCAAGGAGTTTGTCAGGCATGTCGAGAAGTGCAGAGTGAGGCCAGAAGGAGCTTAGTGAACTGAGGAACTGTGCAGAAACTCGGACTGGTTCAAGAACTGGGCTGTGTGTGTCAGATGCAATGACAGAACCAGGGGCTGGGAAGGCAGGTCGGGGGCTACAGAGCAAAGCATCTTCTCCAAGAGTCGGGGGCATTGTACGTCAGAAGGTAATTAAGACACAGACGTTAAGAGTACCGGCTTTGTGGGCCGGCCGAGTGGCGCCATGGTTAAGAGCTGGCTTGGGACGCCAGAGGGCCCCGGTTCGGATCCCACATATGAGGGCCAGTGACACTGCCCTCTACAGCTAAGATGCTGAAAAACAGCTCAACCTGGAGCTGGGCTGCCGTGAGTCGCCGGCGACGGCGTAGGCTGCAGCCCCTGTGGCAGTGGGTTGCCATGGGCTACCGTGTGTAGCCAGCAGCCAGCGTGAGCGGCCAGCAGCCAGCGTGAGCGGCCGTCCAGAAGCCGGCGACTGATCTGCCTCGCCCGGGAAGAGCGCAATGATGGTGCCAACTTGGGCCAGTGAAGCAACGTCCTCCACAACTAGACTGAAGAACAAAAGGACAGCAACTTGTCTGTTCCCCTTCCCCTAATTCCCCAGCACTGTTCCCATCCCCCCAACTACCCAATAAAAATCTTAAAAAAAAAAAAGATTACCGGCTTTGCTCTAATCAGGGATCTACCACTTATTACTAGCTGTGTGATCTGGGCAACACCCTGGGCCTCAGTATCCCCGACTATAACGAAAAAGAGGCTATGTAATAAACCTGACAAACTCAGGGGAAGCCACATGGCAGGCCCGACAAGCTCAGTAACCAGAAGTAAGCACACAGGACGGTCTGATGTCCAATTCCTAAGCGGACAGGTCATGGCAGGTAGTCACACCCCAGGCCTATAGCTTCCTTAGCTAACAAAGGTCAATCTGTACCTTAAGTGAGTCCTGTCCATTGTTCTTATGTAACTGGAATAGTATACCTTTGAAATATCAGAGGAAATTTTCTTTTTCTAGATCCCTCAAAGGCGCAACTGCAGGCCCCAGAGCACAAGACCACAGAGCCCCTCATTATCTTGTTCTCTCTCTACTGTAAATGTTAACTATCCCGTACCCACCAACATAAAAGAAATGTTTCCTCATGTTGTCTTTTATTCTAGCCAAGAGATTTTCCCGCTTTGCCTTCTCCTTCCTCCTTAATCTGCCACCAATGGATTTCATGTAACTTCCTTACATTTATGCCTTTGATTCTAAATACATAAAAGGAACTGCAAAACTGTCATTCTCTGGAGCATTTTCTCAGTCCACTGAGATCTTGCTTCAGGGCACGTCCTCAAAAATTTGACCCAAATAAACGCTTACAAAACTTTTCTATAGCTTTGGAAGTTCATTCGTAGACAGCAGTAATAACCTTTACCGTATACAGCTGCGGGGATGATTAAATGACTGGATGTGTATGGATCGTTTCGCAGAGCGTCCAGCCCCCTTTGCGCGAAATGGGAACACATGATTATGATCCCCAGGCTAAAACTCGTTTCTGAGCCCCCACGGCCTCCTCCCCTCTGCTACGACTTGGGAAGGAAAGTTACTTGGGGCGGCAGCGCCCACTCCCCACTCCTCCGCTCGCCCAGGCCTCAGATCTTGACTCAGAGAGCAAGGCCGGGCCAGAGAGAGGGCGGGGGCGCCTGGCAAGCAGGGGACGCGCGGCGGCTTACCGGGGCTGGGGTCCCGCTCCTTGTCCTCCGCTGTCCCGAGGGCCTTGAAGCCCGGAGGCAGCGCTGGGCCGATCAGATCCCTCGCCATGCGCGGCTGGGGCACCGCTAACGCAGGCAAGCCAATCCACGCACAGTCAAACCTACCCAAAAGGCAGCCCGCGATCCGTCGCAAATGCTGGAAAGTTTTTCCGGCGCCGACCAGTGACGTAGCAGCCTGTGGTTGGCTGAGCCGTGTAATTCTCCATAACGGAAGTGACGCATAAATCTTGTTCCACATTCGCACGCTGGGTTCCTTTCCTGGCGGGTGGCATGGCTGAGCCCGCTAGTGATTTCGTGACTTCCCCGGGGTGGTTTTCAGCCCCGCAGCTGAACCCCACGTTGGGGCTTCAGAGCGACCCTGCCCCGCTGCGGGACAATTGGATGCTCTGGGCAATGTTGCCGCCGCCACCACCGCCTTCGCCGTCGCTTCCCGTAGCAGGGACAGAGCCTTCCTCAGAGGTGCAGCCCCTCGTGGACACCCGCTTCGACGCCCCGATTCTTCCCGGGGCGCAGCCCCACTTCGACATCCAGTCCCGCCTTGAGTCTCAGCCTCACATCAACGGCAACCCTTCCTGGAATTTCCAGGCTTCGACATCATGGTACTGGAGACAGTCTCCTGGTGGTTTTCCTCGGCATCAGAAGCCCCCCAACACTCCGGGTAGGCTCTTCCTCCTCTCCATAACCCCCTTACCTTTCTTCTCACCCCCCTTTTTTCCCTCTCCCGTTTCTCCTTTTCCTTTCTCTTTGCATTTCTGATTTTGCGCTGCACTCCTGCAGCCTGGTCCTTAATGTCTCACAAGTTGTCCGACAGGATTTTCCCTCGCCTGTTCACTCAACTTAGTTATTCATTGAATTCCAACGATGTATCAGGAACTGGGAATCAGTAGTGAAGGAAACATACGAAAATCCTTATCTTTATGGAGCATAACCTCTGGTGTAGGAAGACACAAACAAGGTGAAGCAGTGTGTGTTCGAAGGCCGTGGGTGCTATGGAGGGAGAGACAGCAAAGAAGGATGACAGGTAGTGCACTTTTAAATGTCGTAAGGAAGGTGCCATTTGAGCAGAGACTTCAGGGCGGTGAGGGAGCAGATGGTGGTACATCTGGGGGAATGGGAGTATAGGCGGAAGGAACTGCAGTGGCAAAGGCCTTGAGGCAGGAGCTACAGGGCAGAACGGAAGCCGGTGTGGCTGCAGGTCTGAGCCCGGGGTAGAACTGTAGAAAATTGGGGAAGAGGCCAGACCTGTCAGGGCCTTGGAGATGATGGGACTTTGGTTTTTACGGTTGTGATATAGGTGGTGCAGGGGAGTGACATGATTTGATTTATGTTTAAAAAGGATTAATGTGACTACTGATGGGAATTGGTTGAAAGGGAGACGGGTTAGGAAGTTATCGCAGTTCTCCAGGTGAGAGGTATCGGGGCCTTGGACCAGGGTGGAGCTCAGGAGGTGATGAGAAGTAGTTGGAGTCTAGATGTATTTTGGAGGTAGGGTTTGCTGAAGGATTGGATATGGGTGTGAGGTAAAGAGGAGACAAGAATAACTTCAAAGTTTTTTGCCAAACAAGTGGGGAGGATGTGGGTGGAGCAGATTTGGACAGAAGATCAGGAGTTGAATATGTGTGTCAAGCAGAGATGTTGACTAAGCAGTTGGCCAGTAATTTGTACTTTCAGGGGAGATGTGTGGCTGGAGCTGTAAACTTGGGTGTCGTCAGCGTATAGATCATATCGAAAGCCATGAGATTTGTCTCTTGAAACCATCCTCTAACTCCGCATAAGATTCAGTTTACACCAAATTGAACCCAAATCAGTGTTTACTGTGCGCCAAATGCTGGGAATATGAGTATGCCCAAGGCAACCCTGTCAGGTCAGATGGGTTCATAAATATAAGTCACAATACAGTGTGACTGGCGATAGAGGCACATGGAAGGTGATTTCAGAGTGTGGAGGAGTTGGGAAAAGCTTTTGGAAGAAGTGTCTTGGGAGATGTTTAGGAAGAGATACTTTTTAGGTAGAAGCAAAGAGGTGTGTCAGTACAAGGTGAGTCCTGCTGATTGCAGTGTTCTGTGTGACGGAGGCAGCGTAGGGGGACGGTATGGGAGAAGGGTGAGAAAATAAACAGGGACCTCATTGAAGGATGCTAGGAAGTCATTTGCAGAGTTTGAGCAGGATTGTGACAATTGGAGGATTATTTTTGCGGTGTCAGTGTGCAGGGCCTGTTGGAAGACAGGTCTTAGGAGCTGGAAAACAATTTAGAAGGTTGTCCCAATAACCTAGGTCAGGGTTTCAGAGTTGGGTCATGGCAATAAGAAAGGAAAAGAACCTGAGGGAAAATGTAGTTCACAAGGTTCTGTTTTCCTGGTGTAAAATTGATGGCGAAAGAGCTGTATTAAGGGTTTTACTGTTTACATTTCTAATGTTTGAAATAACTACAAGGAATTTTATCAGGTTAGCTTGTCCTTTACTTAGACGCCTAAAGCATCTATGGACACTTAATCTTACCACTGTGTATTAATTTGAAAAATATTTATTTGGTAGACTAGTCTTAATCTTTGTTAATTTGTTTAAACTACTATTCTTCCTAGAAGGGGTAGGTTACCACTGTTTTAAACTCAAGTACTTGTGACATTCTATAGCAAATAAAAGTTTAAATAATTGTTATTGTTGCAAACATTTATGGATCGCTTTTTGTTTTTCAGTTAAACATTCTTATCTTCCACGAAAATATGATGCAAAGGTCACTGACTTCAACAGCCCTCCCAGTAGAAAACAGAAGAAAAAGGTATTTTTTTTTAAAGGTATTTTTGAAGATGTTCTTGAGTGGAACACTTTGGTCCCTGTATTGCTCTTTCCTGTCTTGTATTGCTATCATAACTCTCTCAGGGTTTTCCATACACTTTTGACACAGCTTTGCTATAGCAGGATCTTTAAGGATCTTAGCTGTAAGTAAAAATTTCAAGCAAAATCTTTTTGAGAAATAAATGGAGAAATTGTAGAAAGTGTAAACATTGAATCCATGTCAATGTAGTATCAAGTAAATGTAATTGAGAATTATGATTACAGATGAGTAAATGTTATTAAACCTCGATGAAGTAAAAAGTATATAAATTATATGTAATATATACATATTACTAGAAGATTGAGAGGGGAGGGATGGAATTAAAAGTCAGTTGTGGGTCGGCCGAGTGGCACGTTCGTTAGGAGTTGGCTTGGGACGCCAGCTCTGAGCAGCAGGGCACCAGTTTGGATCCCACATGAGGGCCAGTGACGCTGCGCCCTCTACAGCTAAGATGGTGAACAACAGCTCGACCTGGAGCTGGGCTGCCGTGTGTCCCTGGCGATGGCATAGGCTGCAGTGTGGGTGGCAGTGGGTTGCCATGGGCTCCCATGTATAGCCAGCAGGCCCCGGCAGAGGGCCCACATATGAGGGCCAGTGACACTGCCCTCTACAGCTAAGATGCTGAACAACAGCTCAACCTGGAGCTGGGCTGCCGTGTGTCCCCGGCGATGGCGTAGGCTGCAGCCCCTGTGGCAGTGGGTTGCCATGGGCTCCCATGTATAGCCAGCAGCCGCCGTGAGTGGTCATCCAGAAGCTGGCAACTGATCTGCCTCGCTGGGAAGAGCACAATGATGGTGCCAACTTGGACCAGTGAAGCAACGTCCTCCACAACTAGGCTGAAGAACAAAAAGGACAGCAACTTGTCTGTTCTCTTTATCCTAATTCCCAAGCGCTGTTTCCGTCCCCCAATTCGCCAATAAAAATCTTTTTAAAAAAAGAAAAATATGGAGACCTATTACATTTTCCTTGTCATCAAAGGAATGTAAATTGAAACTAGAAGATAATGATTTTTCACCTATCAAATAGCCATCTTAGAAGGAAATTATTTTGCCACATATTGCTGGTTGATGTCTAGGAATATATCCTGGCACAGAATTACTTTTAAATAGAAGTAAAAAGCTTTATGTTCAAGTTAATCAGCAGTAATGTAACTTATAAAAATAAAAACAGTTCAAAAATTCTATCTGATTACAAGGGAATGGTTGAATGACTAGTCATCTTGCAATTAAAAATGGCTCTAATGTTTATGATATACAGCTAAGTGAAAAAGCAAGCTGTAAAACAGATTATGGACAACTACAACTATTTTTTTAAAAAACTCTATGTATAAAATGTGTTTCTGGAGACAACCCCTAACCCCTCCTTCAGTGGCTGCTCAGTGCCTTAAAACAAAGCCCTGAAATTTAAGGAAATTCCCAGTGAGGCCCAGCACNGGCTGGTGGGCAGCTGGCATGAGCTTTCGTGAGCTGCCGTGAGCCGCCGTGAGCGGCTGTCCAATGGCCGGTGAGCGACTGCCACACCCGGGAGGAGCGCAATGATAATACCAACATGGGCCAGTGAAGTGACGTCCTCCACAACTAGACTGAAGAAGAACAGGACAGCAACTTGTCTGTTCCCCTTCCCCGATTCCCCAGCGCTGTACCCCTCCCCCAATTCCACAAAAAAATCTAAAATACAGAAAAAAAAAATCAGTTGTATTCTTTTTAATGAGAAACAACTCTTGGTTATGTTCAGAAACCAGGTCTTAAAATGGGCTTCCTTTATTCTGATGTAGCTTACCACCTGGTCTTTCAACTTTTAAAGTTATAAATAATGTCATTAGTTTAGAATAAGTTGAGTAAGGTCTGCAGTATAAAATTAGTATCTTTTATTTTGGCGTGAAAATATGTAGCTAATATTAAGAAAATATTGCAGAAGTGTGCTATGTTCTATATTTCATTATCTGAACATTTAACAAATGAAGACTATTTCCTATATGGTTTATCATTGTAGTACTCTTTTTGTTTTATGTTTAAGCATAAAACTGGCAAATTGGCAATAAAAATAGTTAATCTTTACCTAAATGATTCTTTTTTCCCCTTCTGTGGTATGTGTATGTATATATAATATATACCTATATGTAGTAGTTTTTCTTAAAAGATGAAATGCTGTTTTTACACAGTATTTATTTTTAGATTATCTTGACGTATGCTATAAGTCTTAGATTACGATTTTGCAATCTATTCACTATTTATATTAGCTCTACTCAGATTTAAAAACTTTTGTTGTGCTTGGCTCTTCCTAATATATTTGCTCAAAGTAAAATA